TTATTCCCAGTGTTGCGGGAGTTGGCAGCGGCGCAGCGGCGGCAGACGCGGCTCCGGGGTTGGATCCAGCAGCACTTCCAGGAGCTCGAGGAGGTCACAGGTGATTCCCGGGAATTCCCGCCTGGAATTCCAGCATTCCCGCCTGGAATTCCCCCCCCAAAACTACCGCGGGGAGAAAACTGGGGGAAAACAGGGAAAACTGGGAAGACGAGGGGGTTTATGGGAATTTTCCCTGGATTTTGGGGGGTTTCCCTGGATTTGGGCATTTCCTGGGATTTGGGGGTTTCTCCAGGGTTTTCCCTGGATTTGAGGGGAGGAGTTTCCCTGAATCTGGGGGGCTTTTATCTGGATTTGGGGGGTTCTCCGGGATTTTTCCTTTAGATTTAGGGGGGTTTCCCTGAATTTGGGCGTTTCCTGGGATTTTCCCCTTCCTTTGGGATTTTCTCTGGTATTTCCCCCCTTGATTTTGGGAATTTCTCCTGATTTCCCCCTGGATTTGGGGAATTTCTCCTGATTTCCCCCCCATTTTTCCCCCTGGATTTTGGGAATTTCTTCTGATTTCCCCCTGGATTTTGGGAATTTCCCCTGTTTTTCCCCCTGGATTTTGGGAATTTCTCCTGATTTTCCCCCCTGTTTTTCCCCCTGTCTTTGGGATTTTCTCCGGGATTTCCCTCCTGGCTTTTGAGAATTTCTCCTGATTTCCCCCCGGTTTTCCCCCTGGATTTTGGGAATTTCCCCTGTTTTTCCCCCAAATTTTGGGAATTTCTCCTGATTTCCCCCTGTTTTTTCCCATGTCTTTGGGATTTTCTCCTGATTTTCCCCCTGGATTTTGGGATTTTCTCCTGATTCCCCCCCCCCGTTTTCCCCCTGAATTTTGGGAATTTCTCCTGATTTCCTCCCTCTTTTTTCCCCTTGGATTTTGGGAATTTCTCCTGATTTCCCCCCCATTTTCCCCCTAGATTTTTGGGATTTTCCCCTGTTTTTCCCCCTGGATTTTGGGAATTCCTCCTGATTTCCCCCCTTGTCTTTTCCCCCTGCATTCCATCATTCCCCATCTCGTCGTTCTCCGCTGGATTCCCTCTGGATCTGGGAATTCCTGTGATTCCAGCGCTGCTGTGCCGGAGCCTGGAGGGTTCCCGGCGCTGCTCTGCGGGGTGGCAGCTTTTCGGGAAGAGCTGCTACTCCTTTTCCTGGGAATCCTCGAGCTGGGGGGAGGCGCGGGAAGCCTGCGCCGACCTGGGATCGCATCTGGTCGTCGTCAACGACGAGGACGAGCAGGTTCGGAAAAACGCCGCATTCCCGGGATTTATTCCCGATTCCCTCGGGAGATTCCCTCCCCCCGCCCCCGCGCAGTCCCCACCCCTGGAATTCCCGCCCTGGAATTCCCACTCTGGCACGGAAAGTTATTGGAAATAATGGAAATAATAATCGATTGTACACCGTGGAATTTCCACTCTGGAATTTTCCTACCCTGGAATTCCCACCCTGGAATTCCCGCCATGGAATTCTTGCTCTCACAGGGAAAATTATGGAAATAATAATAATCGATTATACACCGTGGAATTCCCACCCTGGAATTCCTGCCCTGGAATTCCCGCTCTGGAATTTTCCTACCCTGCAATTCCCACCCTGGAATTCCCGCCCTGGAATTTTCCCGCCCTAGAATTCCCATTGTGGAATTCCCACCCTGGAATTCCCACTCCCTCCATGGAAAATTATGGAAATAATGGAAATAATAATAATAATAATCGATTGTACGCCATGGAATTCCCACCCTGGAATTTTCCTACCCTGGAATTCCCAGCCTGAAGTCTCCCCTCCCAGGGAATTCCCACCTGGAATTCCCAGCCTGGAATTCCCACTCTTTCCCCGCAACTTAATTCCCCAAAAACTGCTCTGGAATTCCTGGGAATTCTGAAGTCGGGGCCGTTTTTCCAGAAATTCCTGATCGAGAACATGAACCGGAGCAGCTCCTACTGGTTGGGAATCACGGACCGGGAGGAAAACGGGAAGTGGGATTGGATCAACGGGGAAAAGCCAAGCTTCAGGTAGGAATTCCAGCCGGGAATTCCCAAAATTCGTGGAAAGGAGCCTCAAAAATGGGAAATAATCTGGAAATTATTGGGAAAATCCTCAAGAATGGGAAATAATCAGGGAATTATAGGAAAGGATCCTCGAAAATGGGAAATAATCAGGAAATTATTGGGAAAAATCAAATTATTGG